GTTGTAGTTTTTTTTATTTTCCGGTCGTTCTAAGAGGACGATTTGTCTGATGATTTCTTGTAGACTTGTACTTAGTAGATATATGTCATAGGTACGTTGTATCTCCGCTAAACGTTAGTTTTACTTCTCTCTCTCTCTCTCTCTCTCTCTCTTCCCATTCCGATATAAACTCCATAGCTTCATATCTGGCTCTTTTGTTTATTGATTGGAGCTGTTAATCTCTCCCCCTAAACTTTTAGTACAATACAGTTTACCATATTGGGTTCCTCTTGATTCCATTGATTTCTATTGTAAGAACATTATTGATGGTGCGAGTAGATTTTTGTTTGGTAAATTGAAACACAAGCTGTTCTTCTATTCGGTAAGACGCAAATGGCCAAGGATATATTTTCAGATGTTTTTTATGCAAAAGAAAATTGATTTAACACTAGGTTATTCTAAATTCTCTAAATGTACTATATCATGGAGAAATAAATGCACCTGTTGGTTATTGCTGCTTGTTGGTTTTTATTTATTTATTTCTTGGTTTGTTTCAATTTTGTTATGGAGCACAACCAGCATGATATAAATCACCTTTTCTCAACACTAAATTATTGTTTTTTTAAGGATATTTCAGTATACCATCTTCAAATTTCCTTAGATGTTTGAAAGAAACACTGTAAGTTTCTATTTTCTTTAGGTCTTGATGCTAATAGTTTTTTTTATTGAAGTTACTGATTATTGCAAAAAATAAAGATAATGAGTTCATTTGCAACAGAGATCTATATCTTCATGGTGCAAAATTATTTTCCTCCTTAGTAGGTTGATATCATTCTTGTTGTATTCTTGGAACGGTAGGAAGTAATATTGTCTCGGTTTGTTCATTTTTAATCGATTGCTACTTTTGGTTTCCTCTTTCAATAAGAATTGACTAGAATGAGGTGCGGTTTTTCTTTGTTGGATTGATTCAGTCGTTAAGGGCGATGTGGATTCTAAGTGAACTAGGATAATAATAATTACTTATTGTAAATGGGAGACTGCAATCCACGTCCAATTGTCCATAAAAGAAAGCTGTAATCTATTTTTCTGCATAGGAGAAACTGTTGAAGTTGGTGTCCTTCATTTGATGTGTTTCTTGTTGAATTTTAAATACTTTAAAACTATATAGTGGATGGCCTGTATTAAAGTCCCATGTGTGCAGGCATGGTGGTGGACGAGGCAGGGCTCTCTCAATTTGGGTGCTATGTTTCTCTTTGATTTTCCACACTAACTAATTTTTTTGAACCATTCCTATGTACATCTTCACCGCCATACCGACAACTTCCATTGTTTTATCTAGTTGTAACTCTGTGGGCTACTGGCTAGGATTTGCTATCCTCTTAAGCACATGTCCCTGCAATGGAGATCCAATGTGTTGAACGACCATCTCAGGCATTTATGGCAAGTACTAGAAAAGAAAAAAAAAGTTATAATGAGTAAATGCACTCAAAAGGTAATTTTTACTAATTTTATGCATAGACATAGATATATATAGATACACACATGCGCACACACACACGAACTCTGCCATAGCTGGTCCCAACCCGGTTGTGCTGGTCCCAAGCCCAGAGAAAGGAGGGTTGTGTGAGGTGGGCAGCTGGCATAAAACTTATTTAAGGAGTATGTTCGTTAGTTGGTATAAGCCTTGGATGATGATGATAATGATGATGATGATATATAAACACAATAGCTTGTTTAAGAAGTATGTCCCTTGCTAAGCTGACTGATTTTTTAAATTTTGATGAAACCAAACATTGTAATTGATCATTAGAATAAAACCTTGTACAATATTGATTTCATTTTATTTTTTTAAAATTTCTTGGTGGAATTAAGCCTATTTAAAATTTGGAAGAATATTGTATTTGATCATTCTCTTAACAGATTGCATTTCCTTTGTTGCAATCACTTATTCCTTTTGTGAAAGCATTCCTTATATATGAAATTGCATCAATTTGGTGGCTGTTCATATCATCACATGATATGCAGTTGAAGTCAGTGCAAATCTCGATGTCACTAAACAGATTTGTTATTTGTTCTAAAAATCGATGTGTATTTAGCAAGAGGCGAATTAGGATGACACCAGAGTTTAGTTTTTTCATAGTGAATGGCATGGTTAATGAGTTTATGGCTGGTGATAGAGCACATCAAGAAATCAAAGAGATGTGTTTAATGTTAGAAGAGTTAGCCCAGCAAAGTTTAGTTGTCACCTCTGTGTGTGTGTGTGTGTGTGTGTGAGAGAGAGAGAGAGAGAGAGAGAGAGAGATGTGCCATTCTTTCCTTCTAACAGTCAGAATGGGTTTATAGTGAATCATTTAAGTTACATTTGTTGCTTACTGGTTTTACATTTGTTGCTTACTGGTTTTGATATGTTTCCCTTGTTTTTCTTTTACAGGTTTGGACAATGAACCCATTGTGCACATGCTAACTATTTCTTGGGGCTGTTTGTAGCAATTAGGTAACAGACATTTGTTGATCTAGTCCAGGAATGGACGGCATTATGCACTCATGTGCAATTAGAAGTGGGCTGGGAAACTCTGTGGCTTATGTCAAAAGGTTTTTGGTGATAAGATTGTAGCATTATGGCTGATGGACAAAGGTTATCACTTATCATTATATAACATTCCTTTCTCATTTAAGGAGGGAGATACATATGCTCTTATGAAATTTTCATGCCTTATATTAAACAGATAAGTCTTTCTTTCAGCTGAATTTATACATGTTATTTTTACATTCAAGTGGATGATTGGTGTTATTGCTATCAGGTTGCCCTTGTTAATAGGTTGATTGATTTTGAAGTACTAAGAAGCTTTCTTGGGGGACTGCTGTGTTGCCTTTAGTTCCAATAGATCACATGAACCCAGCTGCTTGTTATGCTTGAGGCATGTGATAACTTGGCCGTAAATTGGCATCCTAAACTGCATTCTTCTCATTCTAGAAATTGGTACACTGTGAGAGTTTTGTGGATGCCATGTTTAGACTGGAAAGTGTCTTTGAGCTTTGCATAATGAATTAGGTTTTTTGTGGAGTTTGCATAGTTTCTGTCTAGACTTGGGGTCATCATGGAATCCAAAATAAAATGGATGCCAACTGACTTTGTAATGATCGAGCTCTAGTCAGGACAATGAATGCAATATGACCCCCACAGTGGGAACTAAGTTTTGTTTGAGATTTGTGTATTATAATTTTAGCACACAAGGAGGAGCCAGATTCAAATATGTGGCTTCTGATATTTTTGTTCTTTGTTTTCTTTTCCTGCACATGTTTGATTGGTTCAGATTAGTGCCTTCTATTACGCAATTTTATGGGCATGAAAATGGAAGTGAAATTCTTAACAGTGGATGGTTAATTGTTTTGAACCGTTTGCTAGCTACACTTTGTTCACACGCTGGGTGATTTTGAGGTACTAAGAAACTTTCGTGGGGGAGTGCTACGTTGCCTTTAGTTTCAGGAGATCACATGAACCCATTATGCTTGATGCATGTGATAACTTGGCCGTGAATTAGATGTTAAACTGCATTATTCTCACTCTGAAAAGTGGTACACTTTCAAAGTGTCATTGAGCTTTGCATAATGAATTGGGGTTTTCATGGATAGTTTCAGTCTTGAATTGGGGTTGTCATAGAATCCCGAATAAAATGGATGCCAACTGAGATTGAGCTCTAATCAGGATAATCTATCAATGCAATATGATCCCAGCAGTGGTTTTGAATGTGCATTTTGGTCTTATACTTGTTCCTCTCTTATACCTGAATGATAACATAGCAGTCAGACTTTTGGTGCCTGCATATAAAGGGCAGTGATGGTGTTAATATTTGGCGTACGTGCAAGATTCTGATTCTCTTACATGGAGAAACCTTAATAGACTCCAACATGGGTCATTATTGTCTGTGTAAACTTTTTATAGCATTTCATGACAGTATCCTTTGTAACCAACTATCCCATGGGTTTAGATGGATCTTTTGACTTGGATTCATTGTATAAAATCATAATAGCTGGCTGCTTGCCACGATTTTATAACTATGATATTACCTTGTGCCCTGAAAAAAAAGAAAGAAAATTTGAACCGATGACTTTCTTTCAAGAAAAGAAAGTTGGTTGTCTTGATAACGAGTGAGGAAAGGTTCTTAGCCACCGGTGGCCGGCTCAATGAGCACCTTTGGGCTTCAACAACTACACTCTTGATTCATCAAACTACACCCCTTGCAACTCCAAACTTTCAGTGAACAACTAAGTTCAGTGGCTGTTGTTTCTTTATGACACCCAGTGAACTATAAAATGCATTGGACCCTTGATGATGATATAATTTTTTCTAGTTTATGGAATGACACTTGAGAATAAATACAAAAGAGATCAGTTATATTTTCTAGTTTTAGCTTGCATGGATTGGGATATGATATAAGGTCTATTATGGCTAAGAGACCTATCTTCTTAAGGTCTTCTCTTGCCAACAAGTCATGCTCCCGCATATAGATATTTATGTGCTGATCTTACTGGAATTATCATTCATTAATGCCTAAGTGTATTGTGTCTCTTTATCTCTTCGTCAGGGCAGGAGACAGGCGTTTCCTGTAATCTCCTAACAAGCACCATTTTGTGTGAATCACTTGTCCTTAATGCATTCCTTGACCTATTCCATTCCATGATCTTAACTAGAACTGCATAAGAACTTCGGTCCTCACATTCTAGCCATAAAATATTCCTTCCTTCAACTGTTTTCAAGTACACAGTCTCATAACACTCTCCCCTTGAACTGGTCTTTAAGTACTCTATCTCATAAAGGAAACTAATCATGTGGGTTGTATCAATAGATTGCGAGAATGTATTTTCCTTGTGGGAATATAATATAAGCGTCTAATGATGTCCCTTAGTTGAGATTAGGCTCAGATGATGATGATGATTATCATGATATATATACACAATAGCTTGTTTAAGAAGTATGTCCTTGCTAAGCTGATTGATTTTTTTGAATATTGATGAAACCATACTTTGTAATTGATCATTCGAATAAAAGCCATGTACAGTGTTGATCATTGGTATAAATGTTTTAATGCAAAGCCATTTGGTCACTTGATGTAGTGTAAAGTGGGTTTGCTTGATGTAAATTCCATGTTGGTGTGCTTTAAACTTACATCCAGTATTGATTTCAACACCTTTTTTTAATTTAAGCCTGGCTTTTTATTTTTTAATCTTGGTAGAATTAAGCCTATTTAAAATTTGGAAGCATATTCTCTTAACAGATTGCCATTCCTTGTTGCAATCACTTATTCCTTTTCTTGATAGTTATATTGCACCAATTCGGTGCAAGTGGGCTGGTCATATCCTCACATGATATATACAGTTGAAGTCAGTGTGTGTATCGATGTCACTAAACAGAATTGTTGTTTGTTCTAAAATTCTATGTGTATTTTAGAAAGAAGTGGAGTAGGATGACACCAGGGTGTAGTTTGTTCGTAGTGAATGTCTTGTTTAATGAGTTCAGGGCTGGTGTGCACACACTAACTAGTTCTTGGGGATGTTTGTAGTAAGTAAGTGACATACACTTGTTGATCTAGTGCAGTAATGGTGACGAGCATTGATAATGGACGGCATTTGGACAAGTGCACAAATTGAAGTTCCCTGGAAAACTCGCTTATTCCAAAAGTAATGATTAGCTCTTTTTGGCGATAAGATTGTAGCATTTTGGCTCATGGACAAGGTTATCACTTATCATTATATAATATTGTAGCATTTTGGCTCATGGACAAGGTTATCACTTATCATTATATAATATTCCTTTCTCATTCAAATAGTCGGATACATATGCTGTTATAAAATTTTCATACTGCATTTTAAACATCCAGTCTTTCTTTATGGAGAATTCATACATGTGATTTTTACATTCAAGTGTATCATTGGTGTTATTGCTATCAGGTTGCCCTTGTTAACAGGTTGATTGATTTTGAGGTACTAAGAAGCTTTCGTGGGGGAGTGCTATATTGCCTTTACTTTCAGGAGATCACGTGAACCGATTATGCTTGAGGTGTGTCATAACTTGGCTGTGAATTGGATCCTAAACTGCATTATTCTCAGTCTAGAAAGTGGTACAGTTCCAAAGTGGCATTGAGCTTTGCATAATGAATTGGGGTTTTCATGGATAGTTTCGGTCTTGAATTGGGTCGTCATAGAATCATGAATAAAATGGATGCCAACTGAGATCGAGCTCTAATCAGAATAATCAATCAATGCAATATGACCCAAGCAGGGGGAGCTGTGAGTTTTGTTTGATATTTTTGTATTGTAATTTACCAGACGACGAAGAGCCAGATTCAAGTATGTTCCAAGGCTTCCAATGTTTTTGTTCTTTTGTTGTTTTCTTCCATATGTTTCATTGGTGCGGATTAATGCCTTGTATTGGACAAATTTGATGGGCATGAAAATGCCAAGTGATGGATACTTTGTGCTATCTGAACGGTGGATGGTTAGTTGGTTTGAACCTTTGGCTAGCTAAGCACTCAAGTTATATGGATGTGACCAACTGGATTGACATATAGAGCTCATTTATTGAGGAGGTGGTGAGAAAATTGTTCTAGTGGGGAAAAATTTAGAGATGATATCACTAAAAATTGAGGACCTTAATACATATGCTCTCTCACACACACACACTCTCTCTCTCTCTCTCCAGCACGTGTAAATACACCTCAGTGGAATGGAATACTAGAAGCTGAGAGAAAAGGGTACAAGCATGGAGCACAATAGAGTTACGGAATCACAAATAGATCACAATGCGCACATAATATTTTGGAAAAATTACATAAATATCCGTTTTAGTTTTCGTTATTATCAAAATACCGAATTCTTTTTATTATTAGTCATATATATCTGTTTTTGGACTTCATAACAATATTTTTTAAAAAAGATTAAACTACCCATTTTCAGTTTTTTAAAATCAAAATTAGGTCAATTTTGGTTTTTGAAAAAACGAAAATTTTAAAATTTCAGTTTTTCAAAAATCGAAATTTTCTTGAACTTTCACACCTGGTGTGAGAGAGAAAGCGAAGTGAGGATTTAAATACACATCAAAGTAGCAAATTCGTGCGGAGTTTATAGAGAGAGAGCTTGACCTGCTACCCGAGTTGCAAGACACGGTAAAAGAGATAGATACTTTGAGCTTCTGCCAGAAAAGCCCTGGAAAATCTGCGTTGGACTTCCCTCACCAATTAGAGATGTGGCGAGAGAGAACCCAAATCACCCCCCTAAAAATACAACCAACATCAAGTCCTATTGTCTCACTAGTTAGAGATATGGAGAGAGAAGCATCAAGTGGGATTGCCTCCCATTAGTGATACGGAGAGAAAGAACGCATCACCAGTTAGTGATACAGACATGGAATATGTTATATAGTCAGTACGAGCTCCCTCACCGGTTAGAGATATGGAGAAAGATTACCCGAATCTCTAGGTAAAAATATAACGACTATACTTGTCCAAAAAGATAGAACCAATATCAAGTCTCATGACGGAACCAATATCAAGTCTGATAGCAGTTTTCGTGAACTACTGAAACTGGAAAATAAAGAAATTTGGTTTTTAAAAAACCAAAATTTTAAAGTTTTCGGTTCTTGAATAATAGAAATTTTGAAATTTTTCGTTTTTCAAAAACCAAAATTGACCTAATTTGTGTTTTTAAAAAACCGAACACGGATAGTTGCATATTTTTTAAGAAAAATTGTTATGAAGTCCAAAAAACGGACATATGAATAATAACGAAAATGTTCGGTATTTTGGAACTAACATAAACTAAAATAGATATTTATGTAATTTCCCTAAAATGGATATTTATGTAATTTTCTCTAATATTTTTTGGATGAACAAAAGAAAGAATAATGGTAAATTGATTTGTGCAGGTTAGCCTGCATAAAATCAAATAAGCTGTGGGCAACAGGAATCGAGTTGCAATTGACAAGCACTAGTAAGCAGTCTTACAATTCAATCCACTATAGTATGTCTGAAGCACTTCCTTTCTTTGGCTGTGTCTATGTAAAGCTTTTTGGTTGCAGGATTAGTTTGAGGTGGCCTTTGGTCATATTCCAGCCTGTGTCTATTTCAGTGAGCTAGTAAATTGATGTTTCAAAGCATCTTGAGGTACACATCAGTTCCATTAGCTAGCTACCTGTTGATTGCCTATTAAGTCTCGTATGCATGCCTAAAGCTTGCGTCCGCTTAAGACGAACCCATCCAGTGTGTGTGAAGCAACATAAATTTGAAGTTGACAGGTTTCCATTATAGAGTAATTAGTGAGTTGGCTACAAAACTAGTAACTCCTTTAAAATATCAAGTACCAATTTGCCTAACATATGGCATGCAGATCTCTATGTTCCTTAAACTTCTGAATTTGATTTTAGGATGCATCAATGATATTTTGAGAAAGCTTTAGGCCACAAAAATCCCCCTAAAAAGGTGTTTTTGTTAGGAAGTTACTGCTAGTCTATAACCTTATATTTACAACAGAAATGCCCTCTGAAGGGCATTTTTCTTAAGAGTGATGAACTTGTAACACCATCATCTATACACACATATTCCATAATATACAATGAAACTGTACTTAGTTGTGCACACCCAGATTTGGGTCATGATAGGTCTGGCACACCACAAAATGCATCTGGTTCGAACAATCTCGCAGAACTCTCACTGTAAACTCCAGAAACAAAATCCTTAGCACCTTCAGATGTAACATCTGCAGTCGTTTTGGGGCTCTGAAGACTTATGTACAGCAGAACACACAGTACCAATGATGCGGTGATTCCCATCAATGTGAGCTTTACCCTGTTCAAGATAGGCTTGACCTGCACAACAAATGATATTTTTTTAACCACTGCATAGTTAAACATCAAATCCCATTGAGAAGTATGAGAGTGGGTTGTTCTCAGTGACCAAGTCTTAGGGTTTAAAAGGAAGGGATTGACTCACTGAGTATGAACCCAGAAGGCGGTCACGAGCTAATATTTCAGGAGGCTTCACCCATATCTGTCAAAGAAGAATGAAACTAAGAATTCATGGTTTTTATCATACAGGCATCCATGCATTATGTGAATAGATCAATGAAAACTATTTAGCATGACGAAACCACATAAAATCAAGCATTAATAACGAAGAAAAATACAGGGAGAAAATATGCATACAATTGACATTTAACAAAAGTAAACAACAGAAGCAGATACCTAACCAATCTGACATCATAGTTCCATGAGATGGTACGGGACAGTGTGTCATGGAAGAGTATAAAGCATTTCTTAATCGACGCTCTCACACCTCACCCCATTGACACCCAAAAAAAAAAAATTAACAGTAGATCGGTGTGGAAAGATACACTGGGACCATTTGGTACGAAAATATTCCCACCTAACCACATGAGGGAATTCTTTCACATGTAAATATTTCACGCGAACCAAGCATAGCTACCTAAACCATTCAAAAGAAAGTAGCATGACAAATGTGAAAAAAGAAGTTAAAAGAGTGGTGTGGAGTAAATAGAGAAGGATTTTATGGGGCAACTTATGCAGCCCCTCCCCTCCTGGACCATGCTTTAAACCACCACCCCCCCCACAAGGAAGAGAGAACAATACTATTAAATCACACAATTAACCCAACTACTGTTTACTTTTGTAGTCGCCCCCCAAGGAAGAAAGAACATAATTTTATTTTGGATGAAAATACCCCATATATAAATCCACGACTCTCTCTATAAAAATTTGACATAGATTTTCTCTACAAATTTTGAGATAGTTTTTATATCTAAAAACTTGAAATTTGAGTTAGTTTCTCACTACAATTTTTTAGATAGTTTCTCTCTCCAAAAGTTTTAGATAGTTTATCTCTCTAAAAACTTAAAATTTGAGATAATTTCTCTCTAAAATTTTTGAGATAGTTTCTCTCTAAAGTTTGAATTTTCAAATTTTTAGATAGAGAATTGTGGGTTTATATTCATCTAACACAAAGCTACTTCCTTCCTTTGGGGGGATGGCTGCAAAATAAATAGTAATTGGGTTAGTTATGTGTTTTCAAACGCATTAGAGGTGCCTAGAAAGTATGGTCTAGGGAAGTATACATAATTTTCCCTTAATCAATGCATGAATTTGCATAGAGAAATGAGACATGAATTTGTATAGAGAAATGAGAGCAAGGACCTATTGAAGACAGGTGAATATGGATAAAAAATAAGTCATATAATGTCATCTATTATCCAGTTGAGTGTACAAGGTAAACAAATGACCACAACTCATGTACCATTTCTTTGTACTTGGTTCTTAATAGTATTTTAAAAAAAGGATGGGTGGAGTAGATCATCCACCCACTAATCATGTCCGGATATGCTGAAACCATCCAAAACATATAAAATATCCCGAAAGTATGGCCCTTAATAGAGAAGAATAGAGGAACATGATTCAAGTAACCAACCCCAAATCTTTGGTAGGACACTTAGTAGGGAACGGTGGTTAGTGTGTCTTTCTGCTTTGCAAAGATGTGGAGGTTCAATCCATGTCCCATTGCAATTCTTTTTCTTTCTTTTTTGTTAATAAAAGAAGTGCTTATTGAAAAAGAAAATCCAAGGTACAAAGCAATATTTAAATGGTAGAAGAGTGCTTGGGTAGGCACACAAACCCCTAACCAAGCATTATGTGCCCCTCAGCACTAGCTGAATAAGCCCTTCAGCTTATATGATATTATAGTGACCAAAATTAAGAAAAGTCTCAATTCCTACTCAGAATTGGAATGGTGTTCACCGATCTTGGATCCCGGTCGGTGATTTCTTTTTCATATTGGTTCCTATTTCCTAATACATGTTCTTCATAATGTTGGTTCCTATTTCCTAATACATGCTTTTCACACAAGGGAAAAAAAGAACCAACATATAATTTATTAATGCTAATATAATGGCTCTTGCAGCTTTCATGTTAATTGGACTAGTACCAAATTTTCACAATGTTCAAGGTAGAAGAATGTATAACTGCTTGCAACTTGTGGTTTTTGCTTCAATTATGCATATTTTTAAAGATGATTGATGATCTTGAGGTTTGGAAGGAATGATGAATCCCATTACTTGAACCATCAGCATGGATGGACAACCGTTGTTTACAAATTCATTGGAAAAATGCATGTCACTATAAGTTGTGGAGGTTGTGAAAGTCTTGAACTCAAGGGATCGGGGATCAATGAGAAATATTTCAACAGGAAAGGGGAAGACTCCACAATTGAAAACAGCAGGAAAATGCCCATGGGACAGATTGGGTGGGAACTGGACTGGTTGAGGAGACAAATTTCTATGAGAAAACACCATAAGTACCTCTAATTTGAGAAATGAGAATGAAATCTAGTTTCTTAGTTCAAACTACTATGGTCAGACCATATCTTATCCATAAGCTCTAAGATACATCGAACACCAACTTTTAAGGTAATTATGTGAGAGTCCAGAGTTCAAAGATTTCAATGGACATGTCTCAAATGTGCCATATGTGGTTGTGTGTCAGACATATGGGCAGGCTCCTTGTCAATTTTAATTTAAATATGAAATTCTCTTGGGTTGTTAATCCAAGGAGAATGGAGTGACTAAGGAAGATCTTATGTATAGAATTATAGCTAGGTGGGCAAAGTGGAGGTGTACATCTAGAGTTTTATGTAAATGACGTATACCAATGGAACTTAAGGGGAAGTTCTATAAGACGGTTGTAAGACCAACCATGCTCTATAGGACAAAATGTTGGGCGGTCAAGAAACAACATATCGATAGGATGAGTATATTTAAGATGAAGATGTTGAGATGTTATTCGTGGCAAACAAGAAAGGATAGAATTTGGAATAAATACATCCAAAAGAACTGGGGGGTGGCATCAATAGGCGATGAGATGGGGAAAAGTAGACTTCGGTGGGCAGGCCATATACAACATAAATCTAATACAACACCAGTTAGGAGGGACGATTTGGTCTGAGTGGAAGGCTCTAAAAGGGCAAGCGGGACGCCCGAAGAGCATGGATGGAAGTAGTGACAAGAGAAATGGTGACTTATGCTATGCCTGAGAGTATGGCCCTTGATAGAGCAGAATTGCGGAACAAGATTTATATAGCCGACCACAAATAGTTGGGATAAGGCTCAAATGATCATGAAATATGCAAGTTTCTAAATTTGTTTCCATCCATTCTATTAGTTTTAACAGATGCCTTAGAATAAACCATTCGATGGAGGATTCAATGAATTTTTGCAAATCTATCCAAGGTGCATGTTATTGATAGTACGAGT